TGCCGACGCTTTGAAATTGAACACACGCTGGCAGCTCGTTCTCAAAGAGGCAGCAAAGTGCAAGAGCATCACATCACACGGCATAAAGTGAGAATGCGACAAAAAATGGACCACGGACAAGAATGGCCAAAAAACAAACCACGTACAGGGTATGCACTATTGCATACCGTTTAGCCGCCCCCACCCCTGCGCCGCCGCTGCCATTCGTGTACCTGCCGACGCTTTGAAATTGAACACACGCTGGCAGCTCGTTCTCAAAGAGGCAGCAAAGTGCAAGAGCATCACATCACACGGCATAAAGTGAGAATGCGACAAAAAATGGACCACGGACAAGAATGGCCAAAAAACAAACCACGTACAGGGTATGCACTATTGCATACCGTTTAGCCGCTTCAAAATTGTCTGTTGTCACCCAAATGTAAAGGAAGAAATCAAATGAATAGGGAAGTCAGTTATACACACGTAATTTTAGTTTTAGCATTGTAGTTAATTTAAGTCAAAATGTCAACTAGTCATATATTAGAATACATTTGTTTGTTTTTCACTGCAGAGCATTTTGATGTACATTTTGAAAGGGATTTGCTTCACTAGTGTAAATGCACAATCTAGATTTGATCCCAACTGAAATCAGTCTTGAATTGTGTGGGGCTAAGCGAAGCCTCGAAAGAGTTTTCCTTCCGGCACTCGACTAACCTGACGGCTCGTATGAGCGTCTTGACGGCGGGAATGACCTCGTCCATGGCAATGTCGCAGTAGCCTCTGTCGTCCACGCTGTCCTCGCCCAGACCCTCCACTGGGGACGCATTCCCATCGGTTAGTATGCGGACGGAACCGGAAGGAGCGTCAATTTGGGCAGTACCGTCAACGGGAGGCCTGGCCTTGAGCCGCAGCGACGTCCGAAAGCGAGTGCGGTCATTGAAGCTCCAGCTCTTCTGCACCTTCCCGGGGCTGGCCGCCTCAGGGACGTTCTCCTGGTTGGGCGAGTGCCTCACGGCCAGGCCGGGCGCCTGGGGCGATGCCTTGTTCCGGATCACCTGCGCCGAGCGGGAGTTGTTCATCCGGATCCTGTCCCGGAAGCCCAGTTTACTGCTGGTGACCAACAGGGGAAGAAAGAGTAAGTGTTGGTTTTGCATTGTGGTGCACGGCGTCCCCCCC